ATTGGCTTTATATCCAATCAACCTAGCACACTTCCTGTAAATTCTTAAACCTCAGTGTGCTTAGTCTTTTATCTGTGATGCGTTATCTTCAGGTAATACTTTGGGAAATTTCTTTATCATTCAGCAGAGCTTTCTAAATGACTTATAGTTCTTGTACTCTGATTTTCACAATTAGAATCTGAAGCATAATATAAAGTCTACCCTTTGTCACTAAGAAAAACAAACTAGGGGTTGATTGACATATTGATTGATGGAAATACAGGTGCATCCCCCTTCTTGGTGTGTGCAGTTCCATATTTGTGACCTATCTGCTCTCATTTAACTCTCCTGTATGTACAGTAGATTTTCCATGTTGTTAGATACGAAAGAGCCACTTATTGAAAGTCCTTCCTATGTGATGTGCTGCATCATCAGACCTCAAGGCCACAGCACACAAGGGGAAAGCAGCTCTGTAACTCAGGTGCCATCACTTACTCACTGATTTATAGGTGACTAAAAAAGTTAAAGTCAGTAATGCCTCCTTAGACATATTGAAAATTAATTCAGGATAACCCAATCTCAAGAAAGCATGTAATCAATGTTGCTTGCAAATGGGAAAATGCAGAAACCTGTAAGTGCAAAACGCAAAATGAATGAGAAACTGTACCTAAAACACATAAAAACTGATTTATACTTTCAACTCATGTGAGGTTTTCAAAGTACTTTACATGCCATAAAAAGAAAAACAAAACAAAATGGAGAATTGCTTTAAGTTAGGCAAGTTAGATTACAGATGTATGTTTGAAGTCTAGTGAATGAGTGAATGGTGAATGGGCGAGGTTACCCCTCTTCAGGAGATTGGGAAAAGAAAATTGCAGGTTACAGAGGTGAAGCAATCATTGGGCCATCAGGCACAATGGCATGAGAGGAAGAAACGGTTTCTCTCTCTTTTTCTTTCTCTGTCAGTTTCCCTTGGCTGAGCTCTCTTTATAGCCAGATAACAGAAGTTACAATTCTAGCAGCTCTCCTCATCCAGCAACCATATAACTTTCCACTCTTGCCTTTGTAAATAATAAAAAAAAAATTATAGTTGCTTGCAGTCTATGCATTATATCCTTGTAATTATGCCAGAATTACAAGGACATATTGCTAACAAAAGAAGCATTTTAAACATAAACCACTTTTTACAGATGCAAGGTCATCTTTTAATCACTTTGAATCACTACTAGGTTACACCGAGCCAGTACAGAAGTGACATGAGGTCTTAGTTTTGTCTCTGTGAGGACTCTCGAGGCTGCATTTGGCAAAAGTGGCAGTCAAAACAGAACCTTGTTAGTGAGATCAGAAAATAGAATGTTATAGTAGTTGGAACAAAATCATGAACTAGTTACTCAGCCTCAGCAAGCAAAGAAGCTTATGTTAGCAAGATTTCTTAGGTGAGCCAAGGACTGCCTTGTAATATTATTTCATGGGGGCAGTATGCGTAGGCTGCAAAGGAACAAGTAATAGGTTTATTCTATGCTGAAAAGAGAAGAAAGAAAACACAATGTTTCTGGTGTCACCCAAAGAAGGCTCCACAGCTGAAACATTGTGTTTTCTTTCTTCTCTTTTCAGCATGGAATAAACCTATTACTTGTTCCTTTGTAATATTATTGATGTGTGAATCAAAACTTAATCTTTTATCAAATATATTTTTTTTACTTCAGACTCCATATTAGAAGTCAAATCATTTAAATTGTGAATCAGTCTGGTCTAGACTTTGTTGCCTACATGTTAGATACAGACACTGAACTAGCATAGAGGACAGAGGCTATTCTAGCACAAACTGTGTGGTAAAAGAAGCAGTGTGGGGTGGCAGGGTGGTGGATGCAGAGCAGCCCCTGAAACAACCACCCAATGGAGGTGGAGGGTGTAGACCGATGGAGAGGGAGGCACATGCTGCCTTGATTGCGGACAGCAGGGGTACATAGCGGAGTGCTTCTGTGGCAGAGAAGTGACTCAGGAAAGGGGAACAGGCCAGCTGTAAAGGAGGAGAGCTGTCCCACACGAATGAGCCCTTGAGTGGGTGAGGGTGCCGCAGTTCATGTGTGGCTGTAGGTGTGCAGGAGGCCTTGGTCGTTACTGGCACCACTGTTCCCCTGTCGACTCTGATGCATAGCTTTGGTACTGTGGGGGCAAAGGACACTTCAGTCTGGAAGAGTTCAGAGATGAGCTGCATGAAAGCCATGCTGGGCAGAAGGTGCTGCCTGTGTAGGAGGCTGCACCAGGCTAATTCTGGTTCTGGTGCTAGTCTAGGTCTCTTGGGACTTTCTCCAACCGGCAGGATTGAGAATTGATATGGCCGAGGCAGCTGGTCTCAGCAGACCAGATCCACTCCCTAAAGAAGTGAGAGTGTGGGCTGAACCTGCAACACCTGAGTGGCAGGCTAGTCCAGGTCTCTGCACAGGCGACTGGTGGAGGACCACCATGGGGGGCTCCCATAACACTCCCAAGAAAACACAAGTGTGAAGGGGGGACAGAACACCTCTATGGGCTTGAAAACACAAGTTACATGCCCATGTATAGGCCTGCAGTGAAGCAAGAATGTTCCTCACCCATGGAGGGTCCACAGCCACCGAGAGGGTCATCCCAGATCTGTGGTAAAGAAGCCAGTGGGGCCTCCACCCAATGCAGCAGCAGCTGAAAGAGCTTCTGTGGGCTTTCTGGGACACGGGATAAAGACTGTACACACACCAGCTTGGAGCAGCACCGTACTGAGATGGTGACACCCCCGTCCACCTGCCCCCTGATACTCAGAGTTGGCCAAGTAGCAGGCCACAGGAGAGGAACTCCAGAGCATGTCCAGTGCTGGATCTGGGCTCATTAATTTGGTGCTGATGAAGAAAAAGATGGATCATTTTGTTTCTGCGTGGACAACCAAGAACAAGTCACCAGAACAGATGCCTATCTACTCCCTTAGGATCTATGAGGCCAAGGACCACAATGCAGGCTCACATGGGTTCAGTTCCCTGGACCTCAGAAATGACTATGACACTGGAAGACAGGCTAAAGCCTTAATTCTCCCTAGGGGGGGCTGTGGCAGTTCCAAGCAAAGCCCTTTTGTTAGGAATTAGTAGTGAGGACCCTATGCAGAAAACCAGGGCAAACTCCAAAAGGCGTAGTTGAAAGAATAATCTGGGGTCTGAAAGCCGTAGGTAAACTAGCCGGTGCAAACGTACAAATAACCAGAGGTGGAGCAGTAAACCATGAGTAAGCCAAGAGCCAAAACCAGAACGAGAGCAAAAGTACCAGAACCGAAACCAGGAGATGTAGACGGAGAAAAAACCAGGGTCAGGAAACTAAAAACCAAGTAGTAAATAACAATGAGACTGGGAGTAGCTCTAGCCAGGAAAACCCTAATACTGAGCACCGGGAAGAGTGTGAGGCAGCATTAAATAGGCTAGGGAAAAGGGCTAATTGGGAATTGTGCTGGAATGTGAGGTGGAATGCTGATTCCTCCAGGGTCGTGGCGTAACACCTTTGGCCTCTGTCACACTGCAGTGTCCCCTGAACTGCTGACAGGCTTAAATAGTGGGACAGAACAAGAGGCAGGTGCACATAATCAACTAAAATACGAAAGGGTCGGAGCGCCCTTTAAGAGGACGGATGCCAATCATGACAAAGACTGTGTCACTAGCAACAATGCTCTATTTCTGGAAGTGATATAAAAGTGGTACTTCTGTACATATTATGTTTATGATGAATGAAATCACTAATACAACATTTTCTGGCATTAAGAGGAACAACAGCTCCATCTTGTGCGCAGTAATTTCTTCACACACAAGTCAGAAAATCCCCTAAACCCTTCTGAGCCCTGCAGGACTGCCGGCTTCCTAACCCAAACTGAGAAAGGCTAGTGAGAACCAACAAGTCCTGGAAAGATGTGACTCAGTTAATGAGATAAATTTCATAGTTGACTCCCTGGGTTATGATGTGTTAGAAAGAAAGTAAAAATATTAATACAACATTTCAACCAGTTTTGAACCTAATAGGTACTAATCTGTTGTTAGTAGCATATGAGTCTTGAGAGTGACTTTTTCACAAACAAAAGCAGTGACACATTCACACTTTCCAAATAACTCTGGCTCTTATTACTTTTGTCCCTGATAGCGAATACTTTCCAGAGGACTGAAGAGAATTGAAGAGGACAATTCTTCATTCAATGCTTCTTCTGGATATCACTGTTGGGACTGGTGTCCATAGGAGCAAAGAATTTGATTATATGATTATAAGTGAAAAGTCCTGTGAGAGACACAAATCAAATGACTTTATTGTAAACCCAATCCTACTTGATAATCTCACATACACATTAAATATCTGAGCAATGAGGAAAATCCCTTTGGCCTAATGAAACAACTGATGCTGACAAAGTACTTGCTGGTGACTCAGGTATGAACCATTCTAGTAATGCTTGTGGCCACATTATTACACATACAGCCAAAACAGATATTACTACAGCTTTTCATCTTAACAAACTTGGGTCAATATTGTCAGATGGTGTTCCGTGTTGGAATATCCATACAGCATACATCTTTTTTTAAGTTCCTGAAACACAAAATTATTGTTTTCAGCCATGACAATGATAACAAAAAATAACTAGGGGGGTTTCCTTCTTGCTCCCTCGGGGGGCAATGCTGTTGTGTTAGGAAATGTTTAAAGGACGAACTACAAACTACAAACTGTCTCCCACAGCAAGAGATACATTATTTGCGGCACAGTAAAACCTGTTGGAAATCTAGAAGTTGAATTGTGAAACGTTACTCCCGACAGTACACTAAACTCTTCAAACATGTCAAAAGACGTGTACATGATGTACTCTTCTCAACTCAGCGTTTTATTTGCTCACTTTCTGGTAGCGCAAATTTAGGGAGGGATCTACTGTATATGCAAACCCGACTTTTTCCGCGGCCAGCCAATGAGCGGCCCGGAGACGTGACAGCGGACTGTGCGGAATTCCCCTCTCTGTCCGGGACTTTCCGCCTGCCGGAGTTGCACACAAGCAGAGTGTTGATGTGTAACACAGAAGTAGCGGGCTGCCCTGAAAAACCTGCCTTTAATCTACTTGAACAATATAGAAGATTTCATAGGGGGAAAACCGCAGTGTCTTTTAGTTTGTCTTTAACTATGGATTTGCGTTCTCTGTGAGGATATTGATAGTGGTTGTGGAAACTTGGAGGAGAACAGTAACATCTCTCTGCTCCTGAAACGATACAGTAAACAACCAGGTGCTCCCGAATAACCAGAAGAGGTAAGATATATTCAAATTCATGCATGTCGCGTCTAGCCTGTGCACTGCGATATCACACCATTTCATTCTTATTAATGCGAGAGCTGCAGATTTGGGAGCTCAGCCCGACCTCCGGATAATAAATTGATACTGTTGCTCCAAAAAATGAATAAGAAGTCAAGAAGCTTGCTATCTGTGCCGTTAATTTCGACTTGAAATTGTTTAAAAAACACTTTTGTTGAAATTCGTTCTATTTAGAAAACAAGAAAATTATGTACAGAGGTAAATACAGTAGACTGCATGCAATGCACACGTCAAGGTCGGTTGTGTTAATATTGTATGTCACGGGTCCTACGGTTTCGACTCTGTTCTGACTGCAATGGTGTGTATTTGAAATGCTGACAGCCCTGCAGTTTGCCCCCTCATGTCTGGACAACCTCAGCGTAAGCCTGGGCTACTGTGACGGCTCAGCGGCACACTGTCGCTAGGGACGGTCGCGCTCTACAGTGTCCGGTGGAGAGAGACATGTAGGAGTTGAGCCTCAGTCTCGTATTTCCTGTGCTGCTAACTTTGCTGGGACTGGGATTCCGACACAACAGCACACATTAATTTATTTTACCAAGGCTACATTTTTTAACTGTAAACTGGAGTTTGATTTGCCTTTTCCATCAACCTTCCAGTTTTCCTGTCTTTAAGATTTATTCATGTAGTTATAAATACAATCCAACAGACGTGGCCTTTGGCAGGTTTTAGGAAAAGAATAAGGACACACTGTCTCCAAGTGATGTGCTTTACAGAAGGTGTGTTGGAGGGGTGAAGGGTGTGCTCATCTCTCCGGTGTGCTTGTCATCTGAAAGGTGATCTTGGTGGGTCTCTTACGGTCCTTTCAATGTTTCATCAAGACGTCTTTTAACGTTTCTCAGGCCTGTAAAAACAATTAACACAAGGCCGCTAATTTATAGTTTGGTTGGGTTCTGTACTACAAAGCCTCCTTTAACCTCAATACACTAGAAACTGTGTTTCGCAGTGTCTTTGTTCCACAAAAAGAATTCTTCATTACAAAGAGGAGAACATGAGGAAACACTTGTCTAGAAACAGTTAACTCTTAGAGGTATTGAATACATGATTGGAAAGCTGGAAATGCACAAAAGTGGACAGATGTCAGGATCAACAATGCAGCAATAACAATTTACTTTTTCAAACCTTGTGTATCTTTAAAAAAATTGCACATCTCAAGGATCAAAGTGAGCCTTTTTAATTTTTTTCACCTTTTTATTTTATGGATGGTGTCTTTAATAGACTCCTTTATATTGGTATCGCATCGGTGAGGTCAAATCATCTTTATCTTTCTCTTTTTTAAATGTAGTGTGAATATATTTTTCTATATACACCATAGCCTACACCATACACTATATACATCATAGCCTATAATATGAAGAGCCTATGAAGATCTGTAATGTTTATGTTCCACACAAACATAATATGAGATTATCTTCGGCATCTGAGTTCCACGTGGCAAGATCTCCATTAGATACAGTAGGTCAGAATTAAGCAGGTTGATAGCTTAGCCAATGTATTGTAGGGGTCTGTAACTAACTCCTACATAGGGCCCTATTTGATAGAGGCATTGTCTTTATATTATGTGAATTCCCTGAAAATACATTCATTACTTGTAACAGGTGGTCCCTTTTAAGTCTATCACATTGTTAAAGCTCTGTGTTTGGAAATTACAACCTCTTCCTTTATTCCTTGTCTCACTAGCAAACTATTGCCTTCTTTACAACTGTGAATTTTGTATGTTTACATACCAATAATGCCTGGCTTTTCTGATGGGGAATCTATAAACATCAGAGGGACATACCTTATACCTTACCCTGTCTGGGTATTAAGGTACAGTACATATGCTTTCAGGGTTCTTTAAGGTGGTTTTAATTAATTTTATTTAATTAAATTAATCATCCAGTGGTATAATTTAAAACATTTAAACCTGTTGCAGATTCATTAGTAATAACATCTCTGTGAATTAATTAAAAATGTATTGAGCTCTTGTATGTTTTGGGGGTATCTAGTGAGAAAGGTCACTCATGATAATTCTGATTCAGATGAAGAGAATCCACATTTGACAACTTAACCAACATGTAAATGTGTATTCTGTATGTTTTTTATGTGGAATTAGAGAATAGAAATGGGGGAGTGTTTGTTTGCTAGTAAATAAAGAAGAGGAGAAATAATACAATCCCTAATCCCTCTTCTGAGATCAAATGTAGGAGATGTGCTGGTTATAACAGGAACAGCTATTCTTGAACTGTCCTCATGTCAGTGAGCTCATTGTTTAACAATACTTCAACAATTGATGAGATTCAATTTTATAGTGACCAGAACAAGATAAAGATTAAGGTTCACCCTTAATCAGCAGGGTTTTGTGAGTTGTGTAAATGGCCAGAATTCTCGCTTTGGTGCAAAAAGAAATGCTTATGTATTATAGAAATGCTTACTTTGCTCAAAAAAGGTTTCATTGTTGTACAGTATCATTTACAGGCAATGCCCAGGCCACAAGTCTATATGCAGCGTTCATGGTTCATGCACATTTTTTTATTGGTGGGACTTTCAAATCCCAATTGACCATTAAGGTGTGACTCGTTGAAGTCGGAGGATATAGACACACTCGTTCTCATTACACACCCTTGCAGCCAGCTTAGCAGTGTCTGTAGCAAATCTCTTTACATGGTGGTCTCATCATGGATTTTTCACACACATGCTCCAGCTGTTTCACTGTTATAGCACAGCCTGTTAGACTTGCAGGGGAGCCTAGTGAATCTGATTTACACTGGGGATTCTGTGCCAAATGGGCTGTTTCAGTCAACAGGAAATAGTGCCACTGCAGTTCACAGCACTCTTTATCATACCGTGATTGTGTGCAAAAGCACCAATTATTTCTCCTTGTGGAAACCTCCCTTACAAAATGGACCATCTGTCTCGGATACACAGCGCCTCATTGCGGATTTTATTGAATAGCTTGGTGGTAGCCACCCTGTGACTACAGGCTGTTAGCAGAGTGGCCTTTTGGAGGGCAGGCTTTGATGGGGCCTGGAGTGAGAACTCCACTGCACAGCCACAGCCTGCCACTGAGTTGTCTGTGCTACGGAACAGGAAGCTGTCATCGTAGGGGAGGTTAGGTTGCAAAACTCCAGGCTTTCCTCCCTGTCAGCAGGCTGGGCCTGACTCAGGCCTGTGAAATTCCCATATCTCTAGGGTTCTGTGTCACAGTCCCTCGTTCTGCTAGAGGTGTGAGCACACCGGGGATTACTGAGCTGGATATCACAGGGACTCTAGCAGCCTGACACACTTCTTTGTGTCCTTTCACAGAACTACCAGGGAGCTGAGCACTCTTTTGTGTCTTTGAACAGGCATCATGTCAGGAAATCTGAGGTATGAGACTCTCACTTTACGTGCTCTAGCTGCTTTTGTAATTGTTGGAAAGCATGTATTATGTGTTTAGTCACTAAATTTGTGAGCCATCACTAGTTTTGTTCCAAATTCAGACTTAATTGTTTTCATGCATTTTTGACGGACAGCAAGTCTAACCTTTGATGTAGAATGTGTCCTCTGAAGCGTGGCTTGTTATGTCATTGTGGAGAAACATTTTTTAAAAGTGAAGGTCCTCCAAGTATTTCACAAGTGAAATGTGAGAGTTTTACCTGTGTTGGAGACTGAGGTACAGTACCTCCAAGAGACTTTTGAATAAATGTTGTGCTAGGGTATGGAGTACCTCAAATTTAACTGCAGTCTCTGTTGGAGAGTGAGAATTTACCTACAGGTTCTACTGGACACTGGGGTTCCTCGGGGAGGGATTTGTCAGATAGGTTTACTGGACACTGGGGTTCCTCAGAGAGGGATTTGTTAGATAGTTTTACTGGACACTGGGGTTCCTCAGGGAGGGATTTGTAAGATAGTTTTACTGGACACTGGGGTTCCCCAGACAGAGGTTGGTCAAATAGTTTTTCTGGACACTGGGGTTCCCCAAAGATCTTTGTAATGGAACATTTTCTCTCAGAAGTGCTGACCTGTGCCCACAACATCCTGTAAAATACATCTGAGGTATTGCAGGAATGGAAAAACAAAACAGACTTGCTAGTGATTTTTCTGTAGGGTGAATAAGTTGTTGCTTTGAAATTGCAAAGTGGTAGAGTTATCTCCTGTTAAAATTAGTTGTGAAACTTTAAAAATATGGTTGCCACTGCTGTCAGACAGGGGTGAGAGGGGAGAGAGTGACTGACAGCACACTGGACAGGGAAGAGAGAAGAGTGTTGTCAATCTTTTGAAGGTTAAAAACAAAAGCAGAAACTGGGGCATGCTAGCTTGAATTTCTCACGGTGATTAGAATAAGGGTTATTCCTGTTCACAGCAAGAATGGTAAAACAAAACACCTACAGCCTGATTTACCTGTTGTTTCATTTTTAACGTTTTATCTTTTTAATTCTTGGAAATTTTCCGGCAACTTTCCCCAAGCTTCACTGGCCCTGGTGCGCAATCTGAAATCCCGAAGAAAAATCCCTATTTGCAGTATGAGTCAGCCTGCAGCAGCGCCACAGAGCGCAGAGCGCAGAGCGCAGAGCGCAGACCTGGGCTGAGTTGAGCCGGTGGGAGGAGGCTTTCAATTAACCCATCCTGCAAGAGTACCCCACAGGACCAGAGCTGCTCAAATCTCCAGAGGGCAGGAGCTCTGCGCTCTGCCTTAGGGCAGGATTAAGAGTGAGAGGTGATTTTGCACTGCCTTCAAGCTTTAAACCAAAATGATATGTCATCGTCTACCCCCAGACGTGAAAGAAAAACTCAATAATTTATTTTTACTAACCATGATGTTGTTTATAGGGTGTCAGGATGGCGCACTGGTTAGCATTGTAGTTTCATAGGGCTTGGACCCCGGGTTCAGTCCCTGACCTGGGGTGCTACGTACAGTATCTGCATGGAGCTGGTTCTCCCTTTGTTGTCATAGGTTTTCTTCGGGTACTCCAGTTTCCTCCCAAAGTCCAAAGACATACTGGTAGTTTAATTATCTCCTGGAAAAATCTGCCCTAGGTTTGAGTGTATGTTTCTGTGTTTGCATGTCTGCTCTGCAGTAGACTGATGTCCTATCCAGGATTTATCCTGCCTTGCTCCCGTTGCTTGCCAGGATAGGATCTGACTCCCCTGTGACCCCCTCATTGGATGAAGCAAATGAAGAAAATGGATGGATGTTGTTTTTATTTATAAGACGTCTAGTCCTAGTCTCTGCATGTTTTCAAGGTCTCTTTAAAGCAGCAGCACCTTGAAGAACAAAGCTGTTTGTTGGTCCAAATAAGCCAATAATGAGCTTATTCAGGCTATTATCAGTATCATGAACACCTGTAGACACCCTGGCAGCAGGTTTTTGGGGGACCTTTGGGTAATCCTAGTTTTAATTGATAGAATATTTCCCTCAAATAAAAGGACAGTTTCCAGTTTTTTGAAAAAATATAAAAAATTCAGAATATTTATAAATAATGGAAAATGATATAAAAAATAGAATATTTGTGGTTTAGGATCTTGTTTCTTTTAAGACTAAGTAAGATTCTTCAGTTTAGTTCTGCCTTTGCAGAACTTTGAAGTTTCCAGTAAGTGAAGGACTGAATTGATCAGTGGTTGCTTAATTTACTCTGGTTCTGCAGATTATTTTGATAATTAAGGATTATTTTAAGTAAGTCCAGGCATACAGGAGTCAGGGCTGATAATCTATTATAAAAAATAATTAAAATACATTTGACAAAAGCACTTGTTGTTAAATAGAAGTTGATTGTTGAATTCATGTATACAGATCCGTGTGGTCTGTTTCTATTTCTATAAAAGAATTGTAAGAAAACATCTAGTGATGTAGCTATATCACATTCTGCAAACACTCTTAGTTTATTCACTGTATCTTAGAGGACTAGTTCTATCCTTGATCTTTCTACCTTTGCCTTTAGTAAATCATCTTGAAATGTAATCTATGACTAAATTCAGTGCCTGTGTGTCTCCATGGGTAAGTGTCTCAGAGTAAAGATTTCTTAAATAATTCACAGCCTAGGTCCATTCTGAACATTTTGTCCAAGGTAAAAATCTCCTAGAAAGCTAGGTGATATCAGTCTTCTGCAGAAAGAGCAGGCCAGCATCTTGGTCTTCTGATATTTGTTGTCCCTTTCCTCTCACCTACAAGGTGGTAGTGCTATTCATAAATCTGTGTCTGAATGGGTAAAAAATATCTGAGTGTACAACAACTCAGTGCAGCACAGTAAAAAACTAGAGCAACATACTAAAGGTGACAACCATGAAGAGGAATCCCCAATCTAGGTGTTTCAAATAATTGTTAACAAGAGTTTTGTACACAGTGAAAGCTTAAAATATCAACCAACACCCCCACCGTGTCTTTTCTATGACTTCACTGTAATGTAGTCAAGATGGAGCCAACAGACTTTTGTCATTTGTGTGGAAAAGGAAAATTTGAAATCTCAGTGGATCACGGTGGCATTGTGTGAGGAAGGGAGAATCCCTCATTTTCAATGATCATTTCAGGGACTGTGGCCATTTTTAGGTGCAGTCCCCTTGTTATGGGGAGAACTTGTTGAGGTAGAAAACCGGCTAGGAAATCTTGAGTAATCTGGTAGTGAAACTGCTTTCTTTTCGTAGTGATTCGAATTGCAGTTTGGAAACCCCAGTTACAGGCTTCTTCCCATAAATCTGCCTGACTAAAGGGCTGACTAAAGGCTTTGCTACAGAGTTCAATCATACAAGGCTGGGACTGCACTCTCCTAACTCTTAGCAAATATAAACAGGGAGTGTGTCCCCTTCCCTGGACTGGAGATGTCCACACAAGCAGGGTGTATGACCCCAGCCCTGGACTGAGTGTGTTCCACCTGGGAGTGAGCCCCCTGTATCCCTTGTATTGGACTGTTGATGTCCACAGGAAGGAATCTCTGAGCCCTGGTCTGGAGATTTTTGTTAAACTGCAATGAAATGCTTACATACTGTATGACAGCCCAGGTAAAACATACAGTACCTTAGATTCCCCTGACTGTACTTAAACATCAGCAGAAACACATTACAGTATGTAAAAGCTCATAAATGATGGAGAAACACTTCAGACTCAAAACTATCTAAAGATAGTTGAGATATAGGGTTGCAGTCCATTTTGCGTTCTCAGAAAAATAATACAGTATGAACACATGGAGTACAGTACCAGTCCAAAGTTTGAGTACTGTACATCTCCTTGAAACCAGTTTTTTCATGATTATCTGTGCTTTAAACTGTATAAACATGTCTATAAACACTTAATATTTATTTACATATATATACACATTTTTTTATATTTACATATATTTACAATATTTATAATCCTAAGTGTACTGCATTGAAAATGTTACTTTTTCATTTTCAGTAAAATTAACACCCAAAGCAAGAAGATTTCAGTCTGAAGCCCAAGTTAGTTAAAAGTCAGAAATGTGTATAACATGGTGTTAGAACACTTAAAGAAGTTTAAAATGGTCTATGTTAGATGTTCTCACAGTTAACTAGCATGTTAACTCATTTACCTTTTGTCACCAATTATTGGTAAACAAGTGAGAGTCCATGATTACTATAAATATAGCGAGCAAGGGCAAAAGTTTGTAATTCCTGAATGAACATGGCAAGATTTGCTCAGTTAAGAAAGGAAAAAAGACTTGTAAAGAAACCTTTGTTAAGAGTGCAGAATTAGAGTAGAACACTTACCTAGGCCAAAAAACACAGAACCTGGACCTTTGAGGCCAGCTTCACGCATCCTCCTCTGAACTGTTGATCACAGAAACATCTGTATTTCTAGTGGTATTGAGCTCAACTTGTATTTCAGGGGCAGTTAGTCGCCGGTTTCGCAGACTTCTGACTCTAATGAACATACAGCATTAGTTGATTCTGAGGTCACCTTTCGTCTCCCTGAACTTTTTCAGTCCTTACTTCATATTGCTTGATAGTCTTGACCACAGCAGTTATTGACACTTGCAAAGTTCTTGCAATTTGTGCTTCATTTCTTAAAATTATTATAGACTTTTTTTTCCTTTTTATTATAGTCTTTTTTCCTTGCTTGCTGAGCAAATTATGCCATGTTCATTCAGAAATTACAAACTTTTGCCCATGCTCCCTATATTTTTAGTAATGGACCCTCACCTGTTTACCAATGATTGGTGACTAAAGGTAAATTAGGTAACATGCTAGTTAACTGTGAGAACATCTAACAAAGACAAAATTTAGCTTCTTTTAATGTTCTAACACTATGTTATACACATTTCTGACTTTTAACTAACCTGGGCTAGTTCAGTGCGGTTCACTTAAGATTATAAATACACATATCATATAATTAAATATTAATTGTTTATAGACAGCTTTATACAGTTTAAAGCACAGATAATCATGAAAAATCTGGTTTCAAGCAGGTGTACTCAAACGTTTGACTGGTAGTGTATATCTGTGGCATTTGGACCAGTGCAAGACTGCCAAGGTATCATAAGTAGAATTAAAATATATGGGCTGGTCACTCTTCAGAGTGTCCTGTCCATATAAAGAACTCTTTATGATACGCATGCTAGATGTGCTTTTCTTCTTGAAATGTGAACAAATTACCTTTTTCTTATAAAGAAAATAGAAAAATGTTCTAAATTAGAAACTTGAATATTTTTCCAATTAAGAATGAAATGATAGCAGCTCAAGGGCTTTCCCTCTAATAATGTTTGAAATGTGATTTAATTTCAATAGTCAATAAATTGTTAATATAGATTCTTTTATTCCAGTTAGTGTAGGGGGAAATTTCTATTTATTCTTACCAGCCCCCCTCCAGATCTCAGATTTGTCTCTCAGTACGTCAGTCACAGTCTCCAATTTCCACCAATTAAAGTTGCAGAAGAAACTGTAAGAGGAGGCAGTGACATGGCGTGTGAAAACTTCAGAAATCCCCTGACTGTTTACTGTATGTCTTTTGTCTTCTGGATGGGCCCAGCACAGTCTAACCCATAGTCTGCTTCCTCTCACACTTCCCCTGCCCTTCAAATACAAATGCTTTCTGCACTAAGAAGTTTTTTGCAGTGAGGGGAGATGGACCCAGTTGTTACTTTACAGGCTAGTGGCTGTGATCTTGTGTGAAGCCGATTGACTACAGTCATTGTGTTTTGCATTGCCAAGACAAAATCGCTTATTCAGTAGAATAAGGCACTATCAATGATCATCATCACTATGCACCTGAAGGGGAGAGACACACTTTGATTATAGTGGGATTACACTGTCAGTTGTAACCGAAAGCCAGTCGTCATGGTAGTGGGGTTTATTGTGCTGCACGGTACTGTTAAAGTGAACAGATTTAACAGGAATCTTCAAATTCCATCCATTAAGAGAACAGGCTTTTGGTGTGGTGACTTTGTGCTTGACCACAGTCAGTGCCTGAAATGACAGTTCGACTAACACCAGTTAGTACGTGAGAAAAAAAAGAATGTCCTGCTAAGGAAAATGAATTCTTCCACATGCCTGTGTTTTGAAGTTGGATCTGTAAAGTCTTAATTGCAAAACTGTTTTTAATAATAATAGTTTAAATAATTTAATAATAATTGTAGGTTCGGTGCAGCTTAAGTGGACAACTGTACATGATGTTGAGTGGTGTGTGAAGCAGCATCTGCTAAACACACATCTGCACTGGCAGGTGTCTCTGGATGTCTTATATAATTGTCCTTTAGGATTGTATGTACTGCACACCTTGTTAAGTGTGGTATTTTGTAGGTGTTTCTTATGAATCACTAAATGCCCTCTAAAAGTCTGGTAGGTTGGTTTTATGCTATGTATATAGAATGTGAGCAGCTGTGTGTTGCACATATTCTTTAACCTCATCCCTACCAGGGTTAAGTAACCTCATCGTTATCTGAACACTTAAGTATAGATAGCATCCTTGGCTGATAACTCAATTTTGGAAAGATGTTAGTGTGTATATCAATAGCATCAGCTCATGCTTGCTCAACTCTACATGTTAAGGGCTCTGTATTTTTTAAATTGCATTACTTAAAAGGAATAATTTTAAGCAAAGGTAAAAAAACATGCTAAATGGCCATTACGATGGAGTGGCTTGAATAATGCACTAATGCTGGCATTAGACATTGTATCTGTAACAAGAGAGTTCACTGAACAAGTCGGAGTAACAAATATTGTTCATTTCATTAATGTTAGTGTGATTTAAAGTAAATTAGAGTTAGAGGTATTTGTCACTGTCACATGAATCTCATTCATTCAGATGAGTACTATTTCATTAAATACGAAATGGTGGGGGTGCTGCCCTGTCGGCACACTGGCCTGGGGTTTCCACTGCAGGATGCTGTTGATGTCTGCTCTGGGGCGGCAGGCTGGCCTGGCTGTCTGCAGTGACGTCAGCGCCTTGCTCAGAGCTGGTATTCTGGGGGCTTTCCTCTCTGGCTCTTTTCCTGGCCTGTTTCCTGGCAGGAACTAGCTACACACACAGAGAGAGTGAAAGACTACAAACAAAACCTAACAGCGCAGAGAGAAAGACTGACTGCTTTGTAGTGTGTGAAAGAAATGTGGTTTTCTGACTGAAAATGTTTGCTTGGATTTAATTTATTTCTCAAAGATGATTTGTGATTTTCAATACGAGTAGAATTACTGATTTTTACAGTCTGGTAAGAGATCAGATTGAGTATTTAGCTTTCCCCTTTAGACGAAGGGATGTTCTCAGAGACGAGTAAATTCAGTATGCAAAATCTTATTGTTACAAAATTAAAATAGAAATTAACTTGATTTGTGTTTTCAAAAACTTATTTTAAGTTATTAAAACAGAGTGTTGATATTAGATTTATTCAGAAAAACATGTTGGCACAGACCTAGGGGCAGATATAAAGGCAATGACAGAAGATCACAGATTCTTAATTGCTTATTTAATTGCCACCTTTCTTTCCATCAGGATGGATGAGAATACTTACATGATAGACAATGAGGTAAGAACAGTTGTTTTATTCTTCTTAATCTTTAATTTAAACATACACAGGAATAGCAAAACTCAAAACAGTACAAACAGCAGTGCTGCAGTGTGATTGCACTGTATTGCTGCACCTCTCTGTTACAGTAAAGCATTGTACTGCATTTCTGATTACGTAATTGACAGGTAGAGCCTTAGTGCCTTCACTCAACGGAGGTGTATGTAAGCTCTACTGCAGTCAGTGTGAGCTCTGCTGTGGTCAGTGTCTGCTGTGGTCAGTGTCTGCTATGGTCAGTGTCTGCTGTGGTCAATGTGAACTCTGATGGTCATTGAGAGTTCTGTTTGGTCAGTAAATATGCGTGTTAGAGTGTGGGAGCTCTGCTGCGGTCAGTGTGTGAGCTCTGCTGTGGTCAGTGAATTCTGCTGCAGTCACTGAGCAAGCTCTGCTGTGGTCAGTGAGCTCTGCTGTGGTCAGTGACAACTGCTGAGGTCATTGTGTGGAAGAGTTCTCTTTCGCTCCAAAAGGTAGACCTGGGCATGTTTTTATTTTTTAATCTAAATGGTGAACATGTGTATTTACAAGTTTTTTGTTACATCTCTACAATATTCATCCCATTGCTTTCCATCTGCAGATCATTCTGGGGGATTACAGCATGTTGCCACACATGAACATGAACATTAAAGCAGAGCCCTTCCTGGAGACAGGTGAGCATCCAGGAATCAATCACAAAGTCAGGAGCTCCAGCAGCAACAGGTTACACACCAACCAGAGCAAAAGAAAACCTCATCGATACCTGGGCTACCACTATCTGGACACATAAGTATAGATAGCATCCTTGGCTGATAACTCAATTTTGGAAAGATGTCAGTGTATATTGATGCTCATTCCTGTTCATTCCCTTATTTGCTAGGAAGGATAGTGAAGATGACTACCATTGCACAATAGTTTGATTCACTGCAGGTTTTACACACAACTGGTTCCTTTAGAAACTATGCTAAAGACCATACTTACTGTAAATCAGAGCCTGCAGCTGGTAAAATCTGGAGTGAGCCAGGCTGCTAAACGAGGTTGCTGTGAGGCTGAGGTGTCTCCCTGCATGAAACAGTCTGCTCACTGTTACATGCCTGTACTGTACTATTGTGTTGCTGTAACGCACAAACTAACAGAAAATGGAATCGGTTTGATGAGGATTTTTTTTCCCCGTTTTTAATGTTGGGCTTTTAGTTGTTTTGTGACAGATATCTTGTGTTCTTGGTTGCAGTGCATGGGCCCTATCTGCAGATTATTGAGGAACCCAAACAGGTAAGTTAGATATCTGAAGCACAACTCCCATGAAGCTCCAGCCTCAGAGAGCAGTAGAGTATTCACTGTTGTCCAGCTATAAGGTCATTCACAGGGGCCTGTCCTGGAGATCATTAGCCCAGTGACTGTCCTGCTTTAGTCTGAAATGTACACTACAGCCAAACTGGGCCTGTTAGCTGTCCTGCTTCAGTCTGAAACACACACAATAACCAGACAGGGCCTGTTAGCTGTCATGAACTGTTAACTTGCAGCTGTCCTGGACTCACACATGTTCATTCACTTGTCTGTCTGCTTCCATCTACAGAGAGGGTTCCGGTTCCGTTACGAATGTGAGGGCCCCTCTCATGGAGGGCTGCCAGGGGCGTCCAGTGAAAAAAACAAGAAGACATATCCCACTGTCAAGGTGAGTCACAAGCCCCCTCAGCTAGCCATCACTGGGACACTGTTCATGCACTGCAGAGCTTCACTGGGGCACTGTTCATGCACTGCAGGGCTTAATTGATTAGGTATTCTGGCCATGTAAACATGTGGAAGTGGTGTTGACTAGATAAAGGCCCATCAGTACAAATCTGAATTCCAGGCCAGCAGCCATGTCACCCTGCAACTTACAATTGGCAACCCACTGAAGCTAAGCAGACTAAGTGAGCCTGGTCAGTACCTGGATGGGAGACCTCCTGGGAAAAACTAAGGTTGCTGCTGGAAGAGGTGTTAGTGAGGCCAGCAGGGGGCGCTCACCCTGCGGTCCATGTGGGTCCTAATGCCCCACTATAGTGATGGGGACACTATACTGTAAACAAGCGCCATCTTTCGGATGAAATGTAAAACCGAGGTCTTGACTCTCTGTGGTCATTAAAAATCCCAGGGTGTTTCTCGAAAAGAGTAGGGTGTAACCCTGGCGTACTGGCCAAATTTCCCATTGGCCCTTACCAATCATGGCCTCCTAATAATCCCCCTCTATGAATTGGCTACATTACTTTGTTCTCCTCCCCCCCAACTCCAACGGCAGGCGGAGCGAAGTGCCGGTTGGAGTATTCTCGGAGCATTTTGTCCATCAAGAAGAATGAGCTTTGGACTTATCCTAAACAACAACGAGTGGGGTGTCAGGGAGCTGGAGGGGAAAATCCTTGCAAACCTGATAGGGTGGATGAAGACAAACATTTTCAAGTGAAGTTCTCCATGGAGGATAAAACACTATGTCTAAAATGGCTCCTATCTCCTGGCTCCTGCATCCTGGCTCCTATTCACGTATGCATGTGAACATTCATGTAGTCACAGTTTAAGACAAAGTTTAAGACATATAGTCAAGCAGGAGACAAATGGACACAACAGGGGGCAAACTAGCCCCCCAACAACTGAACGTTTAAAATGTGAATTGGTAGATTAGTACATATAAATGTTGAAGGACTTTGGAGGCCAAAGAGAAGTGCTTTCAGGAGTGCTTTTTATTTCAGAGTGCTTTCAGGCATGCTTTTTATTACCCCCAAGAGTTGTGAATTTATTTTGGGGAAAAAACTGACAAAAGGTCAAAATCTAGGCCAGGTGCACAAGCAACATGGTCTGTGTAAAGAAATAAGGAAACTTTGAGGTAATGATGTGTGCTTTATTTCTGGAAGAGGGAGCAGTGAACAGCAGAAGGCCATGTTGGCGTCCTGTGGAGAGGTGCGAGCAGGACAGGGGCCATGTGACAGTATTCCTTTGTGTCTCCCCAGGTGTGTAACTATGTAGGCTACGCAAGAGTGGAAGTTCAACTGGTAACACACACTGACCCACCCCGGGTACACGCCCACAGCCTTGTGGGCAAACAGTGCAACGAGAACGGAGTGTGCAGCATCACAGTGGGCCCGAATGACCTCACTGCACAGTACGTCCATCTTCATCTTCTTCAGTGTTATTTTTATTCTGGCCAGTACCTCATGGAGGGGAGCATATGTAAATTAAAGTCTCATTATTGGGTAACTAGCATATTTCTAAGCAGGTGAGGATGTGCCTTCTGGCTCCTTCCAGGTCGAGGTGTAGGAGCTGGTTTATTAATAATACCCTCTGCTTGCAAGTGTGTTTTGCTGTGTGTGTGATTGTTAGCTGAAATGACTGAATGTGCAGAACGTGCTGTCTCAGGGAGTAATGACATCACCTTCCTGCTGTCCTAAGGTTCAACAACTTGGGGATCCTGCATGTAACCAAGAGGGGAGTGATGGATGTCCTGACCAAGCGGCTGAGAGAGGAGAGGAAGAAGTTGCGAAGTTGCCATTTCACTGGTAAGAAGAATTCTGTGGACTCCAGGAAGCTGTGTGTAACCTTGTGATATAGGGTGAGAGAGCGGCTGTGTTTTAGGATCATGTCACACTGTAGCACCATTAAGGCATCCTGGGGTTCAGCAGACACACAGAGCCTGGGTACATTAAAATCAATAGCACCTTCACTCCCAGTTGTGCAGTTTTCTCGGAGTATTGCATACCTATCTGTTTTCTGCAGGACCGTGTGCATCAGACCCTATACGTAGCACAAAGCTAAACAACCATATACTGTGTATAGTCCACTCGCTTCCTAGCTGTGTTACCTCTGCAAAGGTACAGCATTGTGATCAAGCAGATCTTCTTCCAGCTGGAAACAAGCTCTGCCCCAATTTTTACGGAAGTCAAGAAAAAAACTGCTGTTTAGAATCTGCAATGTATCCGTATTTAGAGTTAAGGGAGTTGTTAATGGTGATTGATCTCAACAGGGAGAAAAGTCTGTAACAAAACAATATTAAACAGAGTGATTAACCTTCAACAAAAGCAACTCAGAAATCCCCTCCTATGTGACTTTTGCTATTTCTGTAGCACCGTGACATTATGCATGAGTGATGTCTTCTTTTTAAGAATGTTTTTCATCTTCTGTATTTAGTTCTGGTCTCCACATGTTCAAAAGAATCTATGTGCCTTGAACAACGTCAAAACAAAAGCAACCACAGTCTTTCCAGGGCTCAAGAGCATGACTTGTGAGTCAGAGAGCCATTCACTCAAGGAATAAAACTGACATTGGGAAAACATAGCTTGATGTGAGAGTAAACCTTATTGAATAAAAAAAATGTCTCTGAGGGGCTGAAGTATCTGCTTTCAGAAGTTTCAAAAGTTCTTTTCATACAGAAAGAAACACTGACAGCACCCACTACAGGGTTGTAGTGAGACTCAGAGCAGTGTGATACAGATACTGTGTTAGTTGAAGTGTCGGAGTGCATCTCTGACAGCTGCATGTGTCTCACAGATGCTGAAGAGCAGGAGATTGTTAATGAGGCTAAAGAGCTGAGCAAGGTGATGGATCTCAACGTGGTGAGGCTAAAGTTCACTGCCTATATCCAAGACAGTGACGGAGCATACACCCGTGCCCTGAAGCCAGCCATCTCCAATCCCATCTACGACAGCAGTGAGTATGCCCTCTGTGTTCTGCTCTCTTGCATTACAAGCCTCCCAGAATCAATAGCTGAGCTAATGATTCTGGGTCACAATGCTATCACAATACTGTGTTTGTCCAGCATTCTCTGTAAAGTTACACTATCACTACACTTGAAACTCTCTGTCTGTAACACTCTTGTATATCGCTCCTCAGAGTCCCCCAATGCATCCAACCTGAAGATCTCTCGCATGGACAAGACCTGCGGCTCAGTGTTGGGGGGAGATGAGATCTTTCTGCTCTGTGACAAAGTTCAGAAAGGTAAGAGGCCTGGAAGCTCTGTTTCAGTCACTGTGTAAATAGACAGAGACTGTTAATCTGAAATTCATTTTACATTATTTTTTGTTCTAGTCAGTATATTCAGTAAGGCTTTATCTACCTTAATTAATCTGCACTTAAGGTAAAACACTTGGATAGTATTCTTCAAGGCTGTCTTTCACAGGTTGTTAGCAAGATCGGCATCTACACTCTTTGTGAATTGAACTCACAAAGCATGGTTAAGCAGTTAAGCAGTAGTTAGGTAATTACTCTTGTGAATGGAGATCATAGTAGACCCTGCAGCTATAGTGGGCTGGGCAATGTGCAGCCTTGCTAGGTGTGATGACAGTGCCTCTGTCTCCACTGCAGATGACATTGACATTCGGTTCTATGAGGATGAGGATGGGGGCTGGGAGGCCTTTGGAGACTTTGCTCCCACTGACGTCCATAAGCAGGTGAGGTTGCCGGTGTGGGGAAGGACTTGAAAGTTCCTGACAGAGTGAACTCAGTGCTGATCAATGAGCCAAGTTATGAGAGCTGAAATTGGGATGCATATCTTTATGCAAGGAGTGGTGGGTGTCTGGATCAGGCTGCCCAGGCATGTTATTAAAGCTGATTCTCTGAGATACTCCAGGAGATTCTCGGCTCTATTCCATCTGATCATGATGGGTCTGATTGTCTTTGCAATCTTTCTGTCTTTATTTGCCCTTATGAAAATTTACAAAGGTGTGTTGTTTGATTTGAATACCATGCGTTTCTCTTGCGTTGCCATGACCTCTCATGGCTTGTGTCAGGGACACTATAATAATAATAAACTATTTTATATAGTGCCTTTAAAGGTGGTTTCTCAAAGTATTTTACAGAATAATTGTAAAAAAAATTCACATGATATGCACAATGAGAATACACAATGAGAGGAGACCGATGGGGGTACTAAATACAGTAGGAGCAGAGGGATAAAGAACAGTTAAGTAAAGGTTTAAACAGATTTTAAGTCTAGATTTGAAGGAGTTTAGAGAAGGGGACTCTCTGATATACTTGGGGATAGAGTTCCAGAAATTTGGGGCATAACAGGAGAAGGCCCTGTCACCCATAGAGTGTAGACGGGCTTAGGGGACTGATAGGAGACCAGAATTAGAAGATCGAAGGTTGTGAGGTGGGGTGTAGGATCATAGTAGTTCAGACAGGTACTGAGGTGCCAAGCCATGCAGAGCCTTATAGGTAAGCATGAGGATTTTGAAGGTTACACGAAACTTGACAGGAAGCCAGTGCAAGGACTCCAGGATAGGAGTAATGTGATCACTTGCTAGACCTGGTCAGGACAAACTGGACATTTTGGACATACTGGAGTTTGTTCAATGTAGAATTAGAAGTGAGTACAGGGTTACAGTAGTCAGTTTGGGAGAAAACAAATCTGTTGATCAGCTTTTCAGCTGCAGTTAGCGATAGCATAGAACGTAGTCTAGTAATATTTCTGAGGTGAAAAAAAGAGTTTTGATGTGGGTTGAATGTCAAGCCTGAATCAAATATCACCCCCAGGTTTTTCAGTTTAGACTAAAGTTCAAGTACAGTGCCATCCACAGATAGTGTTACAGCATTAGCTTTACAAAGTTTATAGGGGGTATCAATAAGCATGTCTTCAGCCTTGTCACAGTTTAGATGAAGGAAATTTTGAGTCATCCAAGTTTTTATGTCAGAGATGCAATGAGATAGAATAGAGACAGCCACATCAGTGTCAGATTTGGTATGGATATAGATTTGAGTATCGTCAGCCTGAAAATGATAGTTGAGTCCATGTGATCTTAAAAGCTGACCAAGTGGAAACATGTAAATGCTGAAAAGTAGAGGGCCCAGTATTGAGCCCTGAGGAACACCAGACTTAACGAGTCCAAATTCAGGCTTAAATCCGCCAAGAGAGACAAAGTGACAGCAATCAGTGAGGTAAGACTTGAGCCATTTTGAGAGCAGATCACAGTCTCAAGATGAGAAAGTACATTGTTGTACTTTCATTGAAAGTGGTTGGAATGGGATCTTATATACAGGTGGTGAGTTTCATAGGCAAAACTAGTTTACTAATGGATGCAGAGTCAAGAAGAGGGAAGTTAGAGAGAAGGGAACCAGTAAAGTTAGGCAAGCAGGGAGAAGGTGTGGAAATGATGTGCATTGTGGAGAGAATGTGATGCCGAATGTTGTTGATCTTGGAGCCAAAGAAATCTAAAAATGTGTTGCAAAGTTGCGATGAGGCAGGTAATGTGGTGGGGCATTTCGGCTTTAGCAGTCTGTTGATGGTGGAGAAAAGGTGTCTAGGGTTGTTATTTTTAATGATGTGAGAGAAGTAGGTGGTTCTAGCAAACTGTAAAGTATACTTATATTCAGACAAGTAATTTTTCCAAGCCTGATAATGTACGTTTAGGCCAGAAAGACACCACCTATGTTGAAGTTTGTATGAGACTACCTTCATTGATCATAGATGGTCGGTGTACAAGGGGGCAGAGTGAAAAAGGGAGATGGTTGGAGTTTTTAGAGGAGCAAAGGTGTCGAAGGGAGATAAAAGGCCGCTATTTAGCAAATGTATTTTTTCCTCTACAGGATCAGAGGTAGAGAAAGAAGATAAGGAAGATATAACAGAATCTGTGAACCTAGGCAGATCAACTGGTCGCCAGTTACGAAAAGGGGAAGGAGGGGAAGTGTTAGAAACAGGTAATTCCAGATTGAAAAGAATAGCTGAGTAGTCAGACAGGCCTGGTTCAAGGGAAGAGAAGTGAGAAACAAAAGAGTCACATTACCACATCGCTATACCTCTGTAAGCTGGTGTGTTTGAAGCCCTTCTCCTCTTGCTGACCTGCTGTGTGTCTCCTACCTTCAGTACGCCATTGTGTTCAAGACGCCTCAGTACCACAGCACAGAGATCGACCGGCCCGTCACCGTGTTCCTGCAGCTGAAGCGAAGAAAGGGGGGTGACTGCAGCGAGCCCAAGCAGTTCACATATGTGCCCCAGGTCCAAGGTAAGCAGCCCTCCGGAGAAGCTGTGCTCAGCTCATAGCTCTTACCTCACGGGTAAGGCTTTCGGGGTTCATGGGTTTGCAGCAGAAGACTCCGTCTGGAGGAGGACATATCATTTGCTTGTCTCTTTGTCTCTGTCTCTCAGACAAGGAGGAGGTGCAACGCAAGAAGCAGAAGCCCCTGCCCCACTACCATGACCACTGGCGTGGTCCAGCCATGGGAGGCTCAGGAGGCCCAGGGAGAGGGCCTGGGGGCTTCGGGCCAGGAGGAGCCGGAGGTGGGGGTGAGTTACGTCCCACCGAAGGAGAAGGGAGCTAATAGGAAAATCAGGAGTCAGACTGTAGTCAAAGGACAAGCAGCAAAATCACTGGTACAATTCAAATAATCCTAAATGCCCTTTACAGAGAGTTGTACGTAAAGCTGAAAGCATCATGGACTGTGCAGGTCATCCCTTTCATTGTGTATTTAAACAATTCCCATCAGGGAGACACCTCTGTACTCCTAGGTGCAATGGAAATAGACTCAGAAAATCTTTAATCCCCATTACAATTTCACTCAGACAATGTAAAACAACTCTCTTTTCTCCCATAACACTGTTATATTTTATTCTTTGATAGAGATGTTTGTCTGGGTTTTTTTTTGTATTGTGTTGGACCCTGTCCTAAAAAAGATTTCCCAGAGGGGTTAATAATGATTGAACTGAATTAAGACTGAGCTGCAAGTAGTCAGACTGGGCTGTAAATAGTCAGATTGGACTTTGTGAAGCGATCCTAGGCTGTACAGAGTCAGACTGGGGTGTGTGGATTCAGACTGGGCAGTAAGTAGTCAGACGGTCTTGGGGCATAAGGAATCCTTGGGAATACACTATCAAAATCTTTCAACCATAATATTGCAGTTCTATGACACAGCCAGTGTTAAGAGATTGCAGTCTCTTGTAGGTGAGATGATACACAGATTGCAGTGTGTATCATCTCAAGTACCTATCATATCGTGTTCAAATCCACCTCTCTGAGGAATGCATCTGGCTGTATTTTAGATTATTAAACTTAAGTTACTCTTTGTACAGTACCCTTCCTTCTTACCCTTAATGAGCTGCTGTTAGGGCAGTAAAGCTAATGTGTGGTACCTGTTTCCTCATTTCTCCAGGAGACTCCTATTTCCCTTTCCCTCAGGCTATGGATGGAAGCTTCCTTGGCCAATTTGGGGGGTTCCAGGGGGGCTCCCAGATGGCCGGTTTAGCACAACCCCAAGATAACAGTGGAAACCAGCAAAATGGGGCACCACATGGGGGCCCCTCCTTACAGCAACAGCTCCTACAGCTTGGTAAGATGCTTGTAGGCCATCAGAATAGTGATCAGTTAAAGAGCTTTATCATTCTCGTTTTTAATTATGAAGTCTCTCTAAATCTCACTTAGACCTGTCTTGGTAGAGAAGCATGCACTACAAGACCTCCTGATCAGATTGCCAGATTGTGACAGAATAAGGTGGGGTGTTGTGTGTGAAGTGGTGAGTCAGTACTGGCTGGCTGGTGGTGTTTTGAGTTGTCAGATGATGATGAGTCCTTAGGGTGAAAGCCATCTCATCACAGATAAACCAGTCCCTTATATCGTCCCCAGCACCTATCATTTCTTTTCCAAACACTGAAAGAAGGAGGGCTGGCCATAGTCTAAGCCATAGTGTTAGCTACAACTCCACTACAGGCTTCTTTTTAGTCCCCACTCTTCCCTCTTTTTCTGCTGTGTTCCTGAGCTACTGGTGCAGAAGGTGCTCTTGTTCGGCCAAGGGGAATAGTGCCTTTGTGGGGGAGGAAATTAGTCCCCTACAATCTGTGATGCTCCCTGGGTCCTTCAGGAAGAAAAGCCTTAGTAGTATTGAATAGCATTAGTTGTGTTTTTATGGGCTCTGATGGCTTGTCTCCCACTGTCCTGTACAGCTGCCCTGCTTCAGTCCAGAGCCACACAGATGGCCAGGCGAACAGCAGGGGCCTTGCTCGACTACTCCAGCACGGGGGATGTGCGCATGCTGCTGGCAGTGCAGAGACAGCTATGTGCAGTGCAGGACGAGAATGGAGACACGTGAGTACTTTCAGTCAGACTTGAGATTCAGCCGAGGGCACAAAATTGCATTGCTGTGCAGAATAATGAGCTTTGGTCAGGACCATGCACACTATTTCTGTATTAGACTGTTGAGCAACAATAGCAATGCTACAATAATAATAACAATTCCTTACATTTATATAGCGTTTTTCTGGACACTCCACTCAAAGCGCTTTACAGGTAATAGGGACTCCCCTCCACCACCATCAATGTGCAGCCCCACCTGAATAGTGTGGGATTCTTTGGTAGACTCTCCCTTTGCTTTTCTTTGGCAGTAGTTAGTATTTAATAAAGTACTGTGTGAAGTGTGTTAGTATGCATCCCTGCCATAACTAACCAAGTCCACTCTCTCTCCCAGACCCCTACACCTGGCCATCATCCACCAACAGTCCGCTGTGGTAGAACAGCTGGTCCAGGTTATCATCAGTATCCCTGAGCAGAAGATCCTCAACATCTGCAACCACCTGCTCCAGGTAGGGCTACATAATAACTGGTTCTCATTGCTGTGGTTAGACATGAATTACAGCGCATCAACACAGTGCCCATCAATCTACTGCTTGTCACCATGGTGATCAGTGAGGTATTGTACAGCATGTCACCATGGTGACAAAAGAGCTGCATAGATCGTCATAGTAATAAATTAACTGGAGCTCATTGCTTTTCTTGTGAAACAAGCTAATGTCCTAATTATTTTGCATTATATGGTAGATGTCAGGTGAATTATATGATATATTGTGTTACACTCATCTTCTTCCTGTAGACTTTGTAATTTTCTATAATATAAAGAATTATTATATTATACAGTGCCCTCCAAATTTCTTGGGACAAGAGCTCAAATTAGCCCATTATAGGCATATGCTCATGAAATTTGGATCATATATATTGGGGAAAAACAGGTTTATAGGTGTTTCTAATTCTCCAGGTGTTACACATTGCATAAATTTCACACACATAAAAGAGCCATGAAGGTCTAGGGATGGTTGGGGTCTTTTGAAACTGCTTCTCAAGTCTTTCACTTGAATTAGTCAGCAAAAATCAAAAAGACCAGAGAACTCACTGTGACAGAAAAGAAGACCATTTTAAAAATGTGAAGAAAGAAAATGACCATCAGCAAAATTAAGACTCTTGGCATTGCAAAATCAACAATCTGGAATGTTCTTAAGAAAGAGGAAACAACAGGAGCAGTCAAGAACAGGCAGAGAACAGGGCGTCCAAAAAAATGCAGTAGGTAACAGAAAAATAAGTGTAAAGAAAACCCCCCAAATTACAGTTAGTGAAATCATTAATAATCTCCAGATTGTGGGGATTCAAATTCTTGAGTACCACAATCTGCAGAAGACTTCACCAAGAAAAAATCTGAAGTTGTACTGCAAGGTGAGCCCCTCATCAGCAACAAGAATAGAATTGTTTTCGAACTTGCAGAAAAATACTGGGATGAGCAACAGGAGTTCTGGAACAAGGTTTATGGACAGGTGAAACCAAAATAAACATCTATCAAAGTGATGGAAAGGCTAAAGTGTGGAGAAAAACAGGAACAGCCAATGACCATATGTGTAACTACTCTCCAGTAAAGCATGGTGGAAGAAGAGCCATAGATGGCTTGGGCATGTATGGCTGCTTCTGGAACAGGATCAGTGGTCTTTATTGATGACGTAACTGAAGATGGCAGCAGTAGGATGAGTTCAGAGATAAACAAATACAGTAGATCTTGTCCACAAATGTAAGAAAAATGGCAATAGACTTTTTGGGCTGAAGTTCATTATGCGGAAGGACAATGACCCGAAACATACTCCACACTTAACAGTCTGTCTGGATTTCATCAGACAGAAAAACTGGAACTGGCCAAGTCATCTGAATCCAAATGAGCATGTATTTCATTTGTGACTGAAGGTAGAAAACCCAACCAGCAAGCAACAACTTAAAGAGGCTGCAGTTAAAGCCAGGCAAACTATCTCAGGTGAAGAAAAAAAGAGTCTGGTGATGTCAATTGGACGGAAGCTTGAGGTAGTTATTGCAAGCAAGGGATTTGCAACAAAATACTTACCTTTTCACTTTAAAATGATTGAGTGTATTTGCAAAACATACCTTAAAAATAAAAGGTGACCTTTTGAGCTCTGAGTCAGAATAATTTGTTTTATGTGAATTTCAATTACTTGTGTAAACAAAAGTGAAATGCCAATTTTAGGTTTTTGACCCAATACCTTTGGAGTGCACTGTATAACATAATAAACCCTTATTGCATTATTAACTGAACGTCATCTTGGATACACAAGATCAGCCAGATCAAGAAATGAGAGTAAAAATAATACAGTTTTTTGTACTGCTGAAAGACAAGCTAGCACGTCACAGGAGAAGTCTGTGGATTTTCTGAAAGCAAGTATTTAATTACTGGTTTGGAATATCTGTTCTTTACTAAAATTCAAATTATTTATTAATTGTGAAACCACAATCTTGACTTGATAGGATTTTTTTAAAATATTTTTCTCCAGACTCCCCTGCACCTGGCGGTGATTACCAAGCAGCACAAGGTCGTGGACTTCCTGTTGAAGGCCGGGGCTGACCCCTCCCACTTGGACCGCTATGGAAAGTCTGTTTTGCACCTGGCTGCACCTATGGGTGATGAGACCATGCTCCGCATCTTGCTGGGACACCTGGGGGAACGCCATGCTAACCTGCTCAACACCTCTGATTACAGTGGTAAGTAAGAAGCTGCAGTGCCTGTAACTCTCTACAGGCACATCACTCAGGGAACAGGAATCTGTACAGAGTCACTGGTCAGTGATCCATGTAAAGATTCCTGTTCTCGTGATCTGTACAACACTCAGGGACCAGCAATCTGTACAACACTCAGGGACCAGCAATCTGTACAACACACAGGGAGGAGCAATCTGTACAACACACAGTGGTCAGCAATCTGTACAACAGTCAGGGACCAGCAATCTGTACAACAGTCAGGGGCCAGCAATCTGTACAGCACACAGGGACCAGCAATCTGTACAACAGTCAGGGACCAGCAATCTGTACAGCACACAGGGACCAGCAATCTATACAACACTGAGGGACCAGCAATCTGTACAACACACAGGGACCAGCAATCTGCACAGCACTGAGGGACCAGCAATCTGTACAACACACAGGGGTCAACAATCTGTTTAACACACAGGGACGAGCAATCTGTATAACACTCAGGGACCAGCAATCTGTACAACACTCAGGGACCAGCAATCTGTGCAGTACTGAGGGACCAGCAATCTGTACAACACACAGGGACCAGCAATCTGTACAGCACTGAGGGACCAGCAATCTGTACAACACACAGCGGTCAACAATCTGTTTAACACACAGGGACGAGCAATCTGTACAACACTCAGGGACCAGCAATCTGTACAACACACAGGGACCAGTGATCTGTACAACACATTCTAGGTGCTCCCGGGCAAGCTTGGACTCCCTCCTCTGTTTGAAATTTAAGGATTGAATATCAGAACTGGGACACAGGCAGCGGCAAGGTGTCTGTATGTCAGATTTGCATCTGTCTGACTGTGTCATTCTGTCAGGCCTTTACCCAGTTCACCTAGCTGTGAGGCGGGGGGGAGACCGCTGTCTGCGGATGCTGGTTGAGGCAGGAGCAAACGTCAATGTGGCCGAGCGCAAGAGTGGCTGCACTGCACTGCACCTTGCTGTACAGCAAGACCTGCTGGGAATAGCCTGCACACTTGTCACAGAGGTATGTATAATGGTACAGTGGCTGTTAATGTGTATCCTGAGTTCAGTGTCTCTCTCCCCAGCTGATCAGTGTGTGTGGTTGTGAGTGTGTCTCTCTCCCCAGCTGGTTAGTGTGTGTGGCTGTGAGTGTGTCTCTCTCCCCAGCTGGTTAGTGTGTGTGGCTGTGAGTGTGTCTTTCTCCCAAGTTGGTCAGTGTGTGTGGCTGTGAGTGTGTGTTTCTTCCCAGCTGGTCAGTGCGTGTGGCTGTGAGTGTGTGTCTCTTCCCAGCTGGTCAGTGCGTGTGGCTGTGAGTGTGTGTCTCT